AGTGAGGCTCTTCCCGGATTAGATGGTGCCGGGAGGCAGGAGTGGTCCTCTGGTTGGGGGTCTCAGTCACTCTGACCTGGAAGGACCGGGACACCGAGGGTAAAGCTGTCATTGGCCAATGAGCAGCAGCCCGGCCTATTAGTGGGGGGCGGGGGGACAGTGTGTATGTTCAGATATCATTAAGGAGCGGTCTTGTTCTGGTCTTGACCTGGCAGGGTTACAGAATGGCCTAGTCTGGTGTCTGTGTTCTGTGAAATGACTCTATTCAACAGGAGCACGAGGCCTGGCTAAGAAGGCGAGGCTATATCATGTAGTAATAGAGCGGCCTGGCTCTAAGGCAGCGGTTCTCAACCTGTGGGTCGCGACCCCTTTGGCGGTCGAACGACCCTTTCGCAGGGGTCGCCTAAGACCATCCTGCATATCAGATATTTACATGACGATTCATAACAGTAGCAACATTACAGTTATGAAGCAGCAACGAAAATAATTTTATGGTTGGGTCACAACATGGGGAACTGTATTTAAAGGGCCAGAAGGTTGAGAACCTGCAATGGCTCCACATGCCCTTAGACTTAGAGCCTCCTTTCAACTTCTCTGATTCCTGGGCCAGGTGTGGGTATCACATAGGTTATCAGGCCAGCGTCCAAATGTCAGAGGCTGCTTTCTCTTTCTCACGTGTTTTTTTTTTTGCATTCTCTGCACCTGTACAGTGAGGGGACTAAATGAGCTAGAAACCCCACTTCTAAGGTCCAGGTTATTATTTGTTTTGGGGGCATGCAGGACACCGTGTAAGCGCCTCGCAGTTGGCGATTAAAGTTCTGTGACCCCTGTCTCGTGCTTTCCGCCAAGGGAGCTGAGAGAAAAGCAATAGGATTGGAAAGTGATTGCCATTAACCTGCTATCCGAATTTCATCGGACCCCCTCCCCTGTCTGGGCCTCGGGACATTCGTTAGTAAAACAAATCGGTTGCAATAAATGAGCCGTGTTTCAGTGACCCATTGCATCATCATAAAACACCCTTAAGACTTAGTAGCTTAAAATATTATAGTATTTCTCACAACTGTGTGGGTTGACTGGATTCAGCTGAGCCCACATAGTATAAGCTCCGATTACTCGTGGGACTGAAATCAGTTGGGAGCTCATCAAAACAGCCTCTAAGACAGTGGTTCTCAACCTTGGCTGCACATAGAATCACCTGGGAATCTTTTTAAAATCCTGATTTCTGGGCCTCATCCTCCGGAAATTCTGTTTCTTTGTTACTAATGTTGTGGCCCCACCCCATAACAAAGAAACAGAATTTCCCGAGGATGAGGCCCAGAAATCAGGATTTTAAAAAGGTTCCCAGGTGATTCTAATGTGCAGCCAAGGTTGAGAACCACTGCTCTAGGGTCTCCCTTTCCACCTGGGTCATCATCAGTCCGGCTTCTGCAGGATAATTAGCTTTCTAGAATCTAGATTCTAGGTTCTAGAGCAGCGGTCACCAACCTTTCGGACCTCGCGGACCACCAGTGGTCCTCGGACCACCGGTTGGCTACCACGGCTCTAGAGGACATGACCCCAATGAGCAAATGCTTATTAAGCCAAAGCAGGTCATATGGCCCAGCCCAGAGTCAGTGTGGGAAGGGACAGTCCCAGTTCATTGGGAGCCACCAGTGTGTCAGCCAACCAGACTTCTGAGGCCCCGGCACTTTCCACAGGGCCTAGCACATAGGATTAGGGCAGGAGTCACGAGCTGAATATGATCTCAAGACGTATGTGTATCACACTGTCTTTTCTGTTGTTCTAAAATTGGACACTTTCACATTTTAAAATCCGAATCTCCAGCTTCTCTCAACAATTAAACCCTCTGTTCTGGCCGGCGGTTGGAGTGTCAGTGTTTAGATTCTTGGTCAGGGCACATACCCAGGTTGCAGGTTTGATCCCCAGTCAGGGTGTGTACGGGAGGCAACCGATCCAAGTTTATCTCTCACATCGATGCCTCTCTGCCTCTCCCTTCCTCTCTCTAAAATTAATATAAACTTTTTTTTTTTTTTAAGACTGGAGTGGGAGCCCTAGCCGGTTTGGCTCAGTGGATAGAGTGTCGGCCTGTGGAACAAAGGGTCCAGGGTACGATTCCGGTCAAGGGTACATACTTTGGTTGCAGGGTCCTCCCTGGCCTGGGCCCTGGTCGGGGCTTGTGCAGGAGACAACCAATCAATGTGTTTCTCTCACATCGATGTTTCTGTGTTTCCTCCTCTTCCTCCACTCTCCCTAAAAATCAATGGAAAAATATCCTTGGGTGAGAATTAACAACAAAATAAACATTGATGAAAATAAAAGAATCTCTTGTTGTGGGGGTAGGGGAAGACTGGAGTGGAACCCTGTAACTATTTCTGCTCTGCCAGCTGGCACAGTGATTAACTCTGTCAATAGAGCACCACAGGGGACACGGCTGAATGAAAGGACTTCTCTTCCCGGCTCCAGTACACATCCTCTTCCTTCTGGCCTTCGTGGCACAGCAACCGTTTGCAGAGCTGTAACTCACAGGCATACGCGGGGGGCGGGGATATCCGGGAGGTGGCTTCCCAGTGAGTTCAGGGGCACCTCGGCAGGCACTTCCCTGCGTGCCAGCCCCGACCTGTGGCGTGTTCAAATGATGTACTTTCTTTTTTTTTTTTTTAATATATTTTATTGATTTTTTACAGAGAGGAAGGGATAGAGATAGAGAGTTAGAAACATCGATGAGAGAGAAACATCGATCAGCTGCCTCCTGCACATCTCCCACCGGGGATGTGCCCACAACCCAGGTACATGCCCTTGACCGGAATCGAACCTGGGACCTTTCAGTCCACAGGCCGACGCTCTATCCACTGAGCCAAACCGGTTTCGGCTCAAATGATGTACTTTCACCTGTGACGATGAGTTAGGAGGATAACGCACTGAATTGTGGCAACTCGTTTCCACTCATGTCAGAGGGCAGGTCTTTCGAGGGAGAATCTTGTGAAATCATAAGGGTGTTGGTAAGACTGTATTGAAGGTAGCAGCTCTGTATTTCATCCACATGACAAGGCTTCCTGCCTTATCGATCGATCTGTAGAATTTGGGGGGAAAAAGATATCATGAACTATATATATTTGCACATTTATTTGGATTGAAAAAGCCAGACTTTCTGACAGTCTAATTTGATTGACTGGTTCGATAGGATTGGCATTGCCAATAATGGGTTGTTAGATTAGTTAAATCTTTAGTTCCATGATTGTGTGGAAAATATATTTAAAGCACATAAGTACAAACATTCATCAGTTCACTTATTGGCAAACATATTGAAATTAATATTTGTATTTTCCCCTACCCCTTTTTAAACTTAGGTTAAATAGGACACCTGCAATTGGAAAAGTAAAGAAAAGTTGTGTTAGTCAGAATACACTATGCCACATGAGCAGATTACCCTGTGTATCAGGGATGCAGAACCAGTAAGAGTGAATTAAGGAATATTTTACAAAGAGTTGATGTTATATAATTGTCAAAACTAGTTAAGCAGCCAAACCAGTTTGGCTCAGTGGATAGAGCATCGACCTGCAGACTGAAGGGTCCCAGGTTCGATTCCGGTCAAGGGCATGTACCTTGGTTGCGGGCACATCCCCAGTAGGAGGTGTGCAGGAGGCAGCTGGTTGATGTTTCTCTCTCATCAATGCTTCTAACTCTCTATCCCTCTCTCTCCCCCTCTGTAAAAAATCAATAAAATATATTTTAAAAAAAATACTAGTTAAGCAATCTCTAAGGCTGTTGTCTTCCTGGGCAATACTGGGTCTTAAAAGTCCACGGGGCAAGCAAGTCAGGAAGGGGAGATGGGTGGAAGGTTGGGGAGAGAAGCATAGGTGAACTGGGGTCAGACTGAAACCTGTCGGTTCTTATTGCCCCTGACCTTGGTGCTATGGATGTCCTGCAGAGGCGGGAGCCCTGTGTCACAGGCTGAACACCCACACCTGGCCCAGGAATCAGAGAAGTTGAAAGGAGGCTCTAAGTCTAAGGGCATGTGGAGCCATTGCAGAACCAGCCACTCCTCACACCACGGAGGTGAGTGAGCTGATCGACAGAGATGTATTTGGGCTACAAAATGACTGGTTTCACTTCCACCCCCCAAATCCGTCACAGGAATCTGCCTGTGGCCCACCCTCATCAGAAACAGACAAGAACAAAATTCAGGGAAATGTAGTTTCCTAGCCAAGCTGACCCATTACTAAGTTTTCACACCTTAATACACGTATCTGTTTGTGTGAAGTCCAAAGTGGTCAGCCAGCTCTCTATCTTAAAGTTAGACCATCTGCAATCCATGGTCTCCGGTATTAATGGGAAAGAGGGGAGCTGCACTAGCTATCAACTGCCTTATCTCAGAAAGTTGTTCCTGCTCACTGTTCATTGGTCAGTGCCCACTCACTCAGTCCTAAGAGGCTGGAAGGGCTGCTAAAGGATGTGCTCTTCTGTGTGACTGAAAAAGAAATGAAGTAGAATTCGCTGAACAAACAGGATGATCTCTGCTATGCAGGTATGATTAATATTCATTTATTAAATCTCGGTAGAGTCTTTGGTATGCTCCGAGAAACTGAGAAACTGAATTTCTCCAGTGACAATATAAAAAATCCTTTTAGTAGTCAGGTGGTTCCCAATATTTTGTTCTTAACTGATTGAATTGAGTTCCCATTTCCTCATCTATAAAATGGGAATGACGGTGTCTTCCTCATGGGTTATTGAAAGGATTCAATTAATATGTGAAAACTCTTGGTGGTTGAATGTTGTTAAATGAGAATAATAGTTAATGTCTGTAGAGAAAACACACACACACACACACACACACACACACACACAGAGCCAGGCGTGACTTTCAGAACAGATAACCTAAAGTCAGACCTGCTGTATGACCAGTGTACTCAGGAGCTGGTAAACCCTTTCTGGTCTGGCCAATGTGAAGTGTGCCCTGCTTTTCCCACTTCAGCCCAAGAGAAGAACCCCAAAGGCAAATAGAGTTTCTCCGTTTGTTATTTTATTAGAAGCATATTTACATTCTTGCAGTTAACTTTGCAGAGAACATTTTACAAAAGCTTTGTATAAAGTTTGGAAACTACATAAAAATAACTTCTATCCTTCATAAAGGGAACATATAAGTTAGTTATACATACTCTGCCATAAACTGACTGAAAAGGAGGAACGGTTTCTTCTGTCCCTTACAGAGGAAACGTTAGCACGGGGCCTGAGGAACACTGCGGGCCTTCTCCGCGATGGGCAGTGCACACTGGCTCAACTGTGAGGCCGGAAGGCCCAACCAGACCCCGTCCAGAACGAACAGGGAACCTGTCAGGGCTCCGGTGGCACTGAGCAGGGAAACAGCAACTCGAACACGATTCCAACGTGAATGGCAAGTCACGTAAGGGAAGGACCAAAGACTTGCCTGAGCCATAAAACCTAATACTCATTCTCACACCCCAGGCTGCAAAAGGCAATGTGTTGTAAACAAAGCCCAAATCAGCCCCACCTGGCCATTCGCCAGTACCGGCCTCCCCTGGCAGAACTGGGTCTACGCTCTGTAGTTACACTGCTGCTGGTCCACATTTTCCAGCACCTGTGCACCTAAGAGATTCAAAAGGGACAATTGTTTCATTTGTTGATACCTGACCAGTGTCCCATGTGGGTCAAATCCGGAAGCAGGCAAGCTGAATGCTCACTAACCTGAGAGGACCATCGCCTTCCCCCGGCCTCCAGAGCATCTTTACTGCATCTGTGAGAAGGGCACCCCCAGTCCCTTCTTTCGAACGGCGACTCTCCCTTTGCAAGATCCAGGAGAGGATTACAGCCAGTGCTAAGACTTTGCTTTAGAAAGACAAAGCTTCGAACCTAACCATAAGGAATGAAGAAGGAGAAAGTCCTCCTGGGGGCGGCATGCACTCTGTCACCAGCAGATTAGCACCCAGACTCCATGTGCCCATATGATTTCTCAAAATCACCTGCAGTTTTCTCTCGTTTCTTTAAAGCAGGTGTCTTCCTGAAGAAGCCATTCATTTATATTTGTTTCAAGTTAGAAATCAAGATGAAGAAGCTTTGTTTGTAAAGAAGCCGAATGCCAGTTTGAGCATTTGCCTTCATTGGGTTATCGACACTGCAGCCTTGGAGATCAGACTCTGGGAGGCCAACTGATGACCCAAAGGTCCAGGATTCTGTCTGAGCTACAGAAGCTTTGCTTCTGCCATGTTCGGGGGGGGGGGGGGGGTAGACACACAAAAAGCATTAGTTTCTCCCTGATGCTTTTGCTTCCTGAGGACTGCCAGACCTCTGAAGTATAAGGCTAGACTCCTGAAATAGGAGGAGCACAGGGCAGAGGCAGACAGCCTTCCCATTTCACCTGGGCAAATGTGAGATGGAAACAGACTGGGTTGTGGAAGTGCTGGGTGGTGAACACACCCATTTGTCCCTGAACACACACTACCACATGGGGGCCAAAAGGAATCACAGACTGTTCACCTTGTGCTCTGGTGCCAACATGCCACATACCAGCGGCTCCACCTGACATACTCAGTGGCTCAGGCAGCAAATGTGCTCCAACCCACCTGGTACGTGGTACGAGAGGCCCAGGGGCTTTGTGTGTGTGTGTGTGAATGTGCTCCAACCCACCTGGTACGAGAGGCCCAGGGGCCCAAGCCCTTTGTGTGTGTGTGTGAGTGTGTGTGTGTGTGTGTGTGTGTGTGTGTGTGTGTGTGCAGGAGGTGGGAGACACAGATGGCATGAAAGACCTGGGACCAGGAGAATGAACAGTTCTGGCTCTCCCCCATTGTAGACATGGCCTCAAGAGGAAAGCAAACTGGGGAAAGTGGAGAAATAAGGGCACCCCCTGAGCAGCTGGCTGTGAGGAGCCATGATTCCTGTCTGACACTGCAGGCAATGGCTGAAGAGCCACCAAGAATTACAGCATATGGACGAGCCCATGGTGACTTCAGCGGCAGCACTGTGCACCCACAGGCAGCAAAGACTGGTGTTTTGGCAAACAGGAGGGGCCTCGAGGCTACAGCACACTCGTTCCTCTTGGACCCTGACCACACCCACAACCCGAATCGCTGACTGCTCGAAGGGGCCTGGGGTTCAAAGAGAACATATATTAAAAGTAGGCGATCCTCCATGAGAGCGCGGAGTCAGGAACACGGGTCACTCCGGCAAGGGGCTGGATTCGAGCTGGTGCGGAAGCGAGAGGGAGGGGTCCTGAGTGACTTGCTCACAGAGAGTGGGAGGGCCCAGAGGCCCGCCAGCCACAGCCCCGAGCGGCTGTTAGGAAGCATCAGCAGAGCTGTAGGGAAAGAACTTGGTGGCCTTGTTTGGGGTGGTGGGGTTCGGGCACTCGGTCTCCTCGTTCAGTTTGAAGAACATCTCCTGCTCCCGCTTCTTCTGGTTCAGATCTTCTTCCAGAGCCTAAGACAGAGAGAGGGTAGATGGAGCTCAGATTCCATGGGACACAGGTCTCCCAACCTCAGGACCCCCACCACGGTGGCCTTCTCTGGGAATTGCCCTCCTGGGCCTTGGTGCCTGGGTCACCTGGTCTTCCCTCTTTCCTTCCCTAGAGCTTATCACCCAGAAAGTAAACACCACCTCCGCCATCCTCCTGCCACAGCCACACAGGAGTTTCCTGTGAGCCCAGGGCTACAGTCTGGGGCAATGCCAGTCTACATGGGGTGTGGGGAAAGCAGGTGCAAATCTGCTGGCAGGAAAACAGCCGGAGGAGCGGAGAAAAGCCTGAGGCAGAAGATGGGGAGAGAGATTTAATAGGGGAGCAGCAATGTGTGTCCCAGCCGGGGCCCTGCCCCACAGAAATCACCAGTTGTTTTCAAAACACAGGAAAACCTTGATATAATGAAGTAATTCAGGGGAAGGGGTGTCTGTTAAAGCCAAAAGTGCATTATATAACAGAGGAGGTTTTCTGAATGCATGTTAAAAAAAATTGACAAATTAGTTTACCTGTTTTTACTTATGTAGACACATATGTGTAATTAAAATTAAGCATGTATGAAGAGTTTAATTCACAGAAAAATTGTCTATATGTATTTCTGTAATTTTACATATACTAAACAGGTCTAGTAAATGTGCATTCACCAGTCACTGCAAGTAAACAAATGCACTTAGCTGGGGCGTGGCTCAGCTCACTCGGGAACATGGGCCAGCACGTGTTAAAACTGCTACAGACATGAGTGATTTGAAATTTCTGGTAATTCACACAGACGCTTGGCTCAAGTTCTCCTTTGCTGGATGTATTAATATCAGTGTTCGTGGCAAGCAAACATATATGCAAGATCGAAGTAGTACTGTTTAAGCGCCTGTAACAGAAGTTACAAAACCCAGTGCCCATGGGAGCCAGCCAGATGATTACATGAGTGGAGAGAGCTGGCCATGAGACAGTAGGGAGTAATGGGGACTGCGTTGCGGTGAAGAGCACCAGCCATGTCTGAAGAGGGCAGCTTTTCTGTTCTAGCTGATGGCTGTCATGTAGTTTGATGGGTCCAGTGTTACCAGAGTTCCTAGGTTTTCAAAAGAAACTGGAAGTCCAGATTTTTTTTTAATTTTTATTGATTGATTTTAGAGAGAAAAAGAAAGGGGGTGAAAGAAACATCAGTCTGTTGTTCCACTTATTTATGTATTCATCGGTTGATTCTTGTATGTGCCCTGACCAGGGATCGAACCCACAACTTTGGCATAGTGGGTCATTGCTCTAACCAACTGAGCTACTCAGGGCAAAATCCAGATTTTAATGTAAAATTTAGTTGGTAACTTTCAAAAAAATTTAAATTGCTATGTATTGGCCAAATCTAAGATCTGTAAGCCAATTTTAGCCCATAGGCCATCAGATGGGACCTCTGCTATAGGAATACCAACTTGATTCTAATAACGACCACAGAGAGTTTAGTAACTTGCCCAGGGTCTCACAGGTAGTAACGGAGAGCCAGGACTTTATCCTACGTCGCTTACTTCAAAGCCTCTTACACACTGTTCTATTCTACCAGCCACATCTCTTCCTCTATGTAACCTAAGGCGGGAGATGACAGCCCTGTATTGGTAAGGGGCCAAACTGGAAATATTTTTGGCTTTGTAGGCAGGCTGTGAGTTCCCTGGCACGGCTTCACTGCAGTTACAGTCCAGTATCCAGCACAGACAATATATCCCTGAACATGCATAGCTATGTTCCAATACAATCTTACTTTCAAATACAGGGGGTAGCCCTAGCCGGTTTGGCTCGGTGGATAGAGCGTCAGCCTGCAGACTGAAGGGTCCCAGGTTCGATTCCGGTCAAGGGCATGTACCTTGGTTGTGGGCACATCCCCAGTAGGGGGTGTGCAGGAGGCAGCTGATTGATGTTTCTCTCTCATCGATGTTTCTAACTATCTCTCTCCCTCTCTGTAAAAAATCAATAAAATATATTTTTTTAAAAAATACAGGGGGTAGGTTAGAGATGGCCCATGGACAGTAGTTTACAAACACCTGCTTTTAGGAACTACTTGTCATTCACATTTACAGCCCCAAAAAGCAAGGCTCAGGGGGGAAGACCCAACTTGTCTGAGGCCGCATTCTAACTATGACCTAAGCAACACTTCATTGACCCTACAAGATATTCTGTATTTACCAAAAGAAATCTGAATTTTTCTAAAAATATCCCACAATGCACAGTCATCTCCCCTGAACCCATACACAGACAGCATCTCAAGGCTGCTGACTGTAATGCGAGAGGGTTAAAGGACATTTACTCCAGAATGGAAATCCCCTCTGGGTCCGTGTTCTAGCAGCAACCCAGGTCGCTAATGATAGGACCATTCTATAGGGGATTCTGGAGAGGCAGCCCTCTCAGCAAAATGCAATGCCAGCTCCTCAAACACACTGTAGTGTCTCCCCGAAGCCCAGGTGTCCCCATGGAGCAATCTGGGATATGAGGCAGTTGCTAGAGGCAACGTAACCCATTCCTTTTCTAACTTTCTCAGGAAGTGCCAAGGGTATACAGAACCCGCAGGTAAGAAAACGGGTTAATATATATTTCCTTTCCAGAGTCAACCTATGCAGGAGCATTACTGATCTGAGTGTCAAGTATCGAAAGTCTCAGCAGGCTGTCGTTACAAAACTGATGCGTGTGGGCCTGCAAAAAGGAAGTGCTGGGACCCTGGCCAGCTTCCAGCCAGAAAGCTCCATTAGCAGAGGGCGGGCAGCCTCACTTCAAGGACTTCCAAGGCCATTACATAGCTGAGGTGAGCAGCGGCCTCCCGTCCAGGCCACAGTTAGAGCAAGCTGAGTTGATGGGTGATGGCAGGACAAACCTCAGGGCTTCCGGCCACGGCACCAAAGAGAATCAGGCAGCGCTCTCTTCAGAGAGATTAGGCGAGTGTAAGGAAGTGAGCATGTCCTTGGCCTGTACCATGGGCTGGTGACTTTCCACATAACACTGTACAGTATTCATTTCGTACATCTAAAGTGACCACACTGAGACTCTGTGAGGGTTAATTTACTTGCCAACCGGGTGAGGCCGTGGTACCCAATTGTTTGGTCAAACACCAGTTGAGATGTCATTGTGCAGGAATTATTTAGATGTGATTAACATTTAACTCAGTAGACTCTGAGTAAAGCACATCACCCTCTATATCAGTGGTTCTCAACCTTCCTAATGCCGCGACCCTTTAATACAGTTCCTCCTGTTGTGGTGACCCCCAACCATAAAATTATTTTCGTTGCTACTTCATAACTGTAATGTTGCTACTGTTCTGAATCGTCATGTAAATATCTGATAGGCAGGATGTATTTTCATTGTTACAAATTGAACATAATTAAAGCATAGTGATTAATCACAAAAACAATATGTAATTATATATGTGTTTTCCGATGGTCTTAGGCGACCCCTGTGAAAGGGTCGTTCGACCCCCAAAGGGGTCGCGACCCACAGGTTGGCGACGCACAGGTTGAGAACCGCTGCTCTATATTGTGGGTGGGCCTCATCCAACCAGTTGAGGGCCCCATAAGGAAAAAGCAATTCTGCCTCCAGACTACTCGAGGGCTCAAGACTGCAACACCAGCTCGTCCCTAGGTTGACGCGACCTGCCCTGCAGACTTCAGGCTTACCAGCCCCTACAACTGTGTGAACCGGTTCCTTAGAATAAACCTATAAATGTGTGTCTTATCTGTATGCACCTCCTAGGCAGACACCTGTGGCACAGCATGGAGCACAGCCTACCTCTGAGCCCCCAGCCCAGACACGGTTACCTTTTTGCGTGGCCGAAGCCTGTCCCGCCATTCCTTCAGGTTCTGGTTATGGCTCTCGTCCAGGGCCTTCAGCTTCTGGGTTTCATGTTCTACCAGGAGGTGACACTTCTCATTCTGGAACAAATTCCAGGCAGAACAGGTAAGACTCTCAGGAGCCAGGAAGCGGGGAGGGGGTGGTCAGGGGTCTCCCTGGGGAAAGGGGCCACCGAAGGGCTTGGCAGCACCAGGACACCTGGTGCTGTTCTTCGTGGGAAAGCTTTGAGCTTCTCCCCATAAGGATGGTGATGAGCTGTAGGTGTTTTGTAGATGTTCTTTATCAAGTTGAGGAAGTTCCCCTTACTCCTAGTTTGCTGCGAGTATTTATCATGAACAGGTGTTGGCTTTTGTCAAATGCCTTTTCTGCATCTGATCGTGTGAATTTCCTTTTTTAGGCTGCTGATGTCAAGGATTACACTAATTGATTTTCAGATGTTGAACCAGCCTGCGATAAATCCCACTTGGTCATGGTGTATAATTCTGGGATTCAGTTTGCTAATAGTTTGTTGTGGGTTTGTGCATCTGTGTTCATGAGAGATACCGGTCTGTAGTTTTCCTTTCTTGTCTGCATCTGGTTCTGGTATTAGGGTCATTAGGACACCCTTTGCCAAAACACAGTGATGGCTGAGAAATCCAGCAGCCTGCCCACTGTGAGGCCCCGGGCAAGGCACTTTCAGCTCATGTCAGAGCTTTACTCCAATCCTGCAAAATAGGACTTGTCACCCGCGCCCACTTTATGGATGTGGGAACTATGGCTGGGGAAGGGGAGGTGATTTGGCCACTGTGTGGCACCCTGGGTCATCAGATGAGAAGCCTTCCCTCTCAGCAGAGTCTCTGTCCCTGAGCTGACTGCCTTGGGGGAATCCGAGGCCACGGGGGGCAGCGGGAGGCCGGTACCTGCAGCTGCTGCAGCTCACTCATGTTGCTCTCGCACTGGGCCGCCATGTCCCGCATCTGGTTCTCGTGTTTTTGCTGCTGCTGCAGCCGCTCTGCCTTCTGCCTCTTCTCCTCTTGCTGGGAAAACTGCAACAGAGAGAAAACTGCAACAGAGAGAGGGGTGGGTGCCTCAGGGACCTCAGGCTGGGCTGGGGGCCCTGTCAGAGGGACTAGTACCCCACAGCACTCAGGCTGTGCCCCCCTCCCCTGTTTTAAGTTCTCCCTCTGAGCCGAGACCCAGCCCCTGCCCTCGAGGCTGGTGGGGACAGGACACTGTGCTGTGACCTGTGCTAGGACAGCGTGTGTACCACGCAGGAGCCACAGGAGCGCCTCCTGGTCTCTGAGCCACGACATGCGAGTGGGGTCATGGTGGATGAGAAGGGGTTTAGCAGCAGAGGAAGCTGCAGGGTAGAGGCACCGCAGTGTGAGGGAACAGGCATGCGCAAGTCTCGCCAAGCTTCCTCTGTCCACCAGAGAGGGGTCCCGGGGAGGTGATGAGGCTTCTGAGCTGTGTGACTTGCACATCTCTTTCCAAGACCCTCTGCTGCACCTTCTATTTTATGTTCGCCAACCTTGTAAGGTAAACCTGACCTGTGCCCGCTCCCGCACACCACGGGCCTACCTGCTTGATCTTCTCGCGCTGCTCAGCAGCGCTGCCCGCCCCGCTGATGTGCAGGCTCTTCTTGTACATGGCCATGCGCGTCTTGCCCTCGCTCCTCTGGATCTTGGGCAGCCGCGCCTTCTCCTGCTGCTGCCGCACCTTCAGCTGCTCCACCATGCGCTGGTTGTAGCGCTGCATCTGCTCCCGCTCCTGAGGGGGACAGGCAGCGGGGCCGAGGTCAGCTGCGCTCCGGGCACGGGGTGTACGGGGTGTCATCAGGAGCCCAGGACCCACCTGGCCCAGAATGCTCAGCAGAGCAAGGCTGTATCATTTCACACCTGCTGATAAGTAACATTGTCTGTTCTCACTTTAAAAATTGTTAATAGTGTGGATTCTTCTAAATGCCCTGCCATCTAATCAATGCTGGCATGCCGTTTCAAAGCTCACATCTCAAAGCAAAATGTACACTGAAACGGATGGTTTATCATTTTGATGGCAGGTGTCAATTCTTATTTTTAGAAGTCTTGATAAATTCCTTCACCTGACACGTATTTGTATTTCAGAACTTGGTACCAGTGTCACCTCCTGCAAGAAGCCTCCCCTGACTTCCTAGCCGGAGTGAGCTCCCGATTCGGAGCCGCCACAGTGGCTTAGGTTAGGAATGACCCACGGCAGCTGTGCAGCCAGACCTCAGTTATCTGTCTGTGTCCCCACTAAGGGGACTAAACCAGGACAGACGACTGGCCACACAGAGCTGGGTCTCACCTGGTCTGGGGACGTGAGGGAAGGCTTCCTGGCAGAGGACATGTTTAAGTTGATACCTGAAAGTATTCTGAAGGAACCCATGGGGAAGAGACAAAGGAAAGAAAGGCGGGGCAAAAGGAGAGAGGAAAGAGAAAAGGGCATGAAAGGGACATGGGTGTCAGAGTCCGAGAGGGAGCTGCTTGGACCATCGCTGCCCTGCATGGTCTCCCCTATTTCTGGCCCCTGGGGCCGAGGCAAGATGTCCGCCAGAACCTCCCCAGGCCTCCCCGTGGCCAGCCTCACTCCTCTGGGAGCAGACGGTACCCGAGTGGTGCCCCAGCACGGTGCGGGCTCCCGCTCTCCCACCCAGAGCCTCACCTTCTCGTGCTTGCGCACCAGCTCGTGCCGCTGGAGGAAGTACTGGTCCTTGAGCTGCTGCTTGACCAGCTGGTGCCTCTCCTGCAGGTGATGCTCCTCCATGTCCCACAGGGCCGCCTCCCGGTCTGCGGAGGACACACTGCCCGGTGAGCTGCTGAGGGCAGAGCCCCACCGGGCCCTCCCCTCCCCTCCCCTGCCACAGCCCAGCTGATGACTGTGCCACCTCATCAGACTACGTGGGAGAGCTGACTGGGCCACCTCCTGGAAACTTCCTTAATACCCACGGGTGAGAGCTCGCTACAGCAAGACGTGTTCGGAGTCAGGAGCCTGAGAAGCCGAGACCTGGGCTGAAACCCAGCTCCATCACGGATTTAGCACAAGAAAAAAGACTGCCCCAGGCCTCAGCTTCCAGCTCTGCCAAATGGGCACAACCGTACCACGGAGGGAGAATTGTCTTCGGGAGACATTTATGTTCCATCTACACGGCACCTCAGCTCCCCGAACGGGCAAATGGAAAACCCTCGGGAAAATGGGTGAGACCCTCCCTGTCCAGTATATGCATTACGCAGGCAATAATATGGCATTTTATCCCTGAGGTCTATTAATCAACACTTTGCTCAGCCACAGGGCGGGGAGCTGGTGTCAGACAGAGCACTTCATGGCCTGCAAGTCACAGAGCAGGTGGCGCTCAGCCCACCGCAAACGGTCTGTCTGCTTCACTGCATTCCTGTCGTGTGAAACCAGTCTGCCCGGGGTAGATGGGAACAGTCAACCCCACCGTCCCCCAGGTAACATGGTTCTTATGCACATCACGGGACAAAGCAAACGGGGCTTTCGGAGACATCCGTGCTCTATTCAGAACGTCGGACATCGAGGACCGCTTTTCTGGTCCACACCGAGTACCAAGCCATCAGAGCCCCGGCTATGGCACCCGCCTGTCAATGGGCCGGAGATGGCACCATGTTTCCTTCTTCACAAAAGCCCACAGGCTCCAAACTCACTTTCACCCACCCAGTTGTTTTCAATGTGGTTCACATAACAGATTTCTAGGCATTTAGAGCTCGCTTTGCACACGCCCCAGAACTGCACCCAACCTCTGCTCCCCGAAAAAGAGATAAAACCCATGGTTCCGAAAGAGCCCTGCTGCCCTTCAGAGCTCCCTACACCAGAGACGCCCCCTCTGAGCGGAGTGCCTCAGCCAGGCACACGCACTGTCCTGGTCCCTCTCCCCGGTGTCCCCCGCCTCCTCCCTCTGGCTGGGCCCCACACCGTTGTCCCTGGAAGGTCTCATGCTACGAGGGACTTGCCAGCATGCAAACCCGCCAGAACGCCTGCGCACAAGAGTAAAGAGCTCGCCTTCCAGGTGAGATCTGCATTCAAGGCCAACCCGACCCCTCATGAACTGCAGCCTCGGCCAAAGAACACTCGCTAAGCCTGTTTGCTCATCTATACACCTGGGGAGAACAGTGGACCTGCCCTGTGTGCCTTGTAGGGGGTGAGGTGAGGTTCAGGGCGAGTAAGGCATGAAAATGGGCTGGCAGAGCAGTCGCTCAGTACGGGACGGCTGTCATAAGAGGCGCTCAGCGCTGTCCGAGCCCCCTGCCACCCCAGGCATCCAGCTCACTTAGTTCCCACCCATCTCCATCAGCGCCTTGTCTTCCCCTCCACGTCTGGAATCACTTCAAGTAGCGCCGATGGTGACGGGCATCTCTGCCTCGCGCCTGACTTCAGCGGGGGTTTTCCTCCCGCTTCACCGCGATGGTTAGTTTTAGGGTGGAGGGGACCCAAGGCTGGATGTCCACCGACAGATTCTAGGCCACCCTGGGCCCGCCCGCTCCAGCGCCTGCTCCCGCGCCCGCTCCAGCACCCGCTCCAGCACCCACCTCGAAGGAGCTCCTGCTTCCGAGTCAGGCACTCGCGCTCCTTGTCACAGATCTCCCGCCTGTTGTCGGCCGTGATCTTCTTCATCGCCAGCTCCAGGTCCTCCTTCTGCTTGGCTAGGAAGTCCCGGTCCTGTGGGGGGTGGGAGGACAGGCCTCTGCTCAGCGCCGGCTTTTATTCTTATGACAGAAGAGAAGTCGGCGTGACCCCAAAGAAAACTTAGGGCATGTCCAGCAGGGAAATGAGACTTAGAGCAGAGCAACCAATGGTGATGTGTGGGCTTTGTACGGACCCTGGTTCAAACAACAAGTAAGAAAAGGGGTGTTTGAGACAACTGGAAATGTGAACACTGACTTGACTGCAACTTTTGTGAAATATTTAAATTTTGGGGGGTGTTTATGGTATTGTGGTTATTTTTTAGAGCTACATGAGATTTTTATACCTATATTCATAGCAGCATTATTCACAACAGCCACGGATGGAAACCTCTCTAGTGTCCTTAGACAGATGAATGGATACAATGTGGAATATTATTCAGTTGTAAAAAGGAAGGAAATTCTGACACATGCTACCACATAAATGAATCTTGAGGACACTATGTTAAGTGAAATAAGCCAGTCACAAAAGAACAAATACTGTATCATTCCACTTATATGAGGCTAAATTTGTAGAGATAGAAGGTAGAATGGTGGGTGCCCAGGCTGGGGAGGAGGAATGGGAAGTTAGTGTTTGATGGGTGTAGAGTTTCAGTTTTATAAGATGAGAGAATTCTGCAGAGGATGGTGCTGGTTGCACAACAGTGTGAATATGCTTACTGCCCGTGAACTCTACACTTGAAAATAGTTAAGATGGCAATTTTACATTCTGTCTATTTTACCAGAGTTTTAAAAAAAATTTTAATGAAAACATGCTCAAAGTCATTAATCATCCAAGAGATGCAAATCAAAACGACAATGAGGTACCATCTCACACCTGTCAGAATGGCTATCATCAACAAATCAACAAACGACAAGTGCTGGCGAGGATGCAGAGAAAAAGGAACCCTCGTGCACGGTTGTGGGAAAGCGAGGGTGTCCTGGACAGAACATGAAGTCTGGAGTCAGACTGAGTTTGAGGCCTCAGCCCCCACTGTTAACTCTTCAGAGTCACCTCTAATTCCCTCCTCTGCAAAGGGAGGATGAAGCCAAACCAGATCATATACAAAGCCTTTGTCAATGTTGACTCTAAATTCATCCGCATTTGGGGGCAGAGGAGACAGGATGTACCAAGAAAGTTAGAGCATGGCCGACAGGCTGGTAAGGCTGGGGCAGAGGGACTGAGTCAAGGGGGAGAGGCTGGCAGGGGCCGGGCCAGACCTGCAGGGCCTCGTAAGCACATGAGGAAGCTGGTCTTATAGACAAAGGTGGAGCCACTGAAGGTTCTCAAGGCAGGGCTGTGGGGGAGGATGACATGATCACACCTGCTGGTGACAGAACTGCAGAGGAACACGAGAGGAAGCAGGGAGACTGGCTGGGAGGAGGCGGTAGCAGTTCCGGCAAAAGATGACAATGGCTAGGGAGTCGCAGAGATGTGGACGAGTTGACGGATCCAGAGAGAGTTTGGAGATTGAAAAAAAGGAAACCATGTTTCAGGAGGTGGTGAGGGACTGGAGGAAAAGGAGGTGCCAGGAGTTCAGGTTTCTGGCCTGACAACCAGGTGCAGGATGGTGCGCTCTCAAAAGATGAGAATGGGACCAGGTCGGGGAGATCGTGGGTTTGATGTCGTTGAGACTCCAAGGTGCCACGTGGACAGGTGGATGTACTGGGTTGATCAAGGGGCTATGACATACCAATAACCCTAAAACAAGGCAGGAGGCACTTAAGGCTTTGGGAGAGGGGGATGTGAAGGGCTGGGGTATCAAGAGATGGGAGAACTCAAGTCCAGCTGGAGCGAGGGCAATCAAGGAAGGCTGCAGGGGAGAGGTGATAACAGGGATGACAAGAGGGCGGGCTGGATTCGGGTGTTCAGAATCATAGACGCGTATTCGAGGGGTAGGGTGTAGGCATAACAGAGAGTCACCATTCAGAGTCTCAACCTGGGACTCCCGAGCCCCTCCGCTCCCTGAGCGAGGGGCAAGGACTCACAAGATGCTGCTTTTTCTGCGCATGCTCCTCCATCTTCTGCTTCATGCTCTCCTTCCGCTGCTGCCTGGGGAGCTTCTCCACCTCGTTCTTGACCTGCAGAGAGTGGCCGGGTCAGGGTATCGCCTCACACTCCCTAAGTCCTGGGCCAGGGACACCGAAGAGTAGGCTCAGGCTTCTAGGCACTGCCCACCCCCTCCTGCAAGCCATTCTGACAGGTGGCACCTACTGGCACATTCCTGACTGCTGACTCAGTTTCCAGACTCCCTAGGGGTAGACAGGTGCTGTTTTTGCTGCTTGGTATTCATCCCCCTTCTGATGACAGCACCTCAGACTCCTTTAGGGCAGCGTTTCTCAACCCTTTTTTTCATTATTATCCCCTCAGAAGCCCTGTTAGACATCTTGTTCCTAATCACCCCCCCCCCCCAAAATATGAATCCCACGGATATACGGTCCATCTCTTAAACCATTATAATATTGAAGCTGTTTTTAACCCCCTTGGTGGTGGTATCACCCCAGCAGGGAGTGCGTGCTTTAGGTACCCCCTCCTCAGTTCCTGAGGTGCAGGTGGCGCTGACACCCCATCCCATCTGGCTCTAGGCTGGGTATATGGTCTACGCTGTCAATCAGCATGGTGCACGGTGAACATGTGGCCCTCTCTGGGCTAGTGAGAGTTCCAGGATGTTGGCTGGAACCATCAGAGAAAAGCTGCTTGCTCTCCGGCCTCTGGGATTGCTAAGCTGGGAGGATGGAGGGCAAGGTGGGCCACCCTGGAGGGGTCTGCCTGAAAAAATTAACACCGGGAAACAGTGCCAACTATATGCTGTCTCTTAAGAAACCAGCATTAAACATGTAGACAGGTTTAATTAAAAGGATGGGAAAAGATTCTACTGAAACACCAATCAACAGAAAGCAGGACTGGCTATCAGACAAAGCAGACTTCAGAACATGGAGTATTATCAGCAATAAAGAGGGACAGTACATAAAAAGGACAGGTCAGTTCACTAAGCAGATAGGACAATTTTAAATAACAAAGAACTTCAAACGCAAACAAAAAGGGACAAACTGAAGGAGAAATAGGTAAATCCCCAGTTATAGTTGGAGACATTACACTCCTTCCTCAGTAGCCAATAGAGCAGGTGGATGGAAAGTGAGTAAGGCTGTAGAAGGCTGGAACCACACTGTCCATCAGCTGGACCTACTGGACATATGGAGCACTCCACCCAGCAGCAACAATATACATCCCCTCAAATGCACATGGAACATTCATTGTCATAGACCACATCCTGGGCCATAAACAAATGTATGTACATTTTTAAAAACTGAAAATTTTAAACATATTTAATCATAATGAAATTAAACGAAATAATTAACAGAAAGATATGAAAATCCAAAAACATTTCAAAATTAAACTTTGAAGCAAACCTTAACCCACAGATCAAAGAGGAAGTTACATAGGAATTAAGATATTAATCAAATTGAATAAAAAAAGATGCAACATATCACAATTTATGGAATGAGGTTAAGGCAGTGCTTAGAGCAGGGGTCCTCAAACTACGGCCCGCGGGCCACATGCAAATACAAATATTGTATTTGTTCCCGTTTTGTTTTTTTACTTCAAAATAAGATATGTGCAGTATGCATAGGAACTTGTTCATAGTTTTTTTTTTAAACTATAGTCCGGCCCTCCAACGGTCTGAGGGACAGTGAACTGGCCCCCTGTTTAAAAAGTTTGAGGACCCCTGGCTTAGAGGAACACATAGCATTACATGCAGACATTAGAAAAGAATAGTCTCAAACCAATGATCTAAGCTTCAACATTAAGACACTATAAAAAGAAGAGCAATTTAAACCCAAACCAGATATGAAAGCAGAAATCTATAACACTGGAAACAGAAAATCAATGAAACCAAAAGCTGGCTCTTGGAAAAGGTCCATAAAACAAACCTTTAGCCAGAGTGACAGAAAGAGAAGAGGGAGGAGGAGGAGGAGGAAGAAGAGACTAGGACACAAATTATCACAAGAGGAGGAAAGAGAGAACATCACTACAGATCCTACAGCTATGTACAGGATACTACGGAATACTATGAATAGCTTTATGCCAATAATGTAACCACTTAGATGAAATAGACCAATTCCTTGAAAGAAGCTACCAAAGCTTTCACTGAAGCCAAGCCTGTGCCCCCGGCACTAGAGCTAGGAACATGCTTAGCCTCCGCTTCTCCCTCCACCCCCCACGTTCCAGGATAAGGAGACTAAGGTATTCGCCTCGGGCACAGAAGGGAAAGCCAAAAAACTCAGTAAGCAAGATAAATAACATCTTAAAAACAACATCCATGACAAAAAATCATGAACAAAATGTCAAAATTTTAAGTGCAGACGAGATCCAGCCCTACACGTGAAGGACTCAGCCTCACTGCCTCGCCTCAGTCCTGGTCCTGTCGGATCCCGTTTTTACTTTAAATAGCCGATATTCTGTTCGTTATGAAGGTGTTGCTCAAATTTTTATTTTAAACCATTGCATTAGATTATTATGCCTTGATTCCCGAGTTTATTTGGCACCTGAGGTGAGTGCCTCACTGGTCTTACCCCAGCCCCAGCCCTGCTCCCTCAGGTCCCTTGGCGACACCAAATGCATGCCCATCACAGTGCAGTCTGGGAGCTGGGAGCTGGGCTCTGAGGCCCCCCCACCCCGGCCCGTACCGTGGACCCCCCCCCCCCAGAGGCTGTCCACCCACTGTTCCCATCTGGAGATTGGGAATGGCCTGGGTTGGTGTGCCCACCCTGGGGGCTTCCACCTCCTGTCTCCCTCCTCCCTCCTGAGAGTCTAGGAAAGCACAGTGTCCCAGCCTCCCCGTGTCTGGCTCACCCAGGCGGGTGTGGGCTGTTCTTTGGGACCCCGGGGCAGGCTGAACGCCGCCTCCCTCCCCTTGTCTCAGGAACCTCTCCCTCTTGGCCACCTCCCCCTTCCAGCTGGGTGGGGGGAAAGGGAGAAGGCTGCATGGGTACAAACTCAGACTCAGGAACTGCTCTTCTGGGAGAAAAGAGCATGGGGCATGGAGGACACGCGCGTTTGCCCACCCAGCACCCACGCCCCCTGCTGGTGACAGCATCTCCAATTCCCCAAAACGCCATCCTTCCTTCTCCCCTGCTCTCCCAGCTGGGAGTTGGGAAGCTGGGGGTGCATAGGAAACTGCCCGAGACCCGAGTCCACGCAGAGGAAAGCAGAGCCCGGTGACACAGGAGTGGCTCCTCCTGGTGCGGCCGGGGCACGTCGATCCAGACATACCTGGACGGGGCTCTGCAGGAAAAGGAGCTCCCCCAAATTCCCTCTGTGCTGAGGCGAGGCTGAGCTCAGGTTTCAGTCGCTTATGACCTAGAGGGTCCTCGTCTGCCTGGACACCCGGCCTCCGCCCAGCACTCGCTCACCTCCTTCTTCATCAGCTTGAGCTGCTCCTGGAACCGGGTGTAGTCCCGCTCCTGCTCCAGGCGGATCCGCTTGGCCTCGTCCCGGCGGCGCACAGCGTGGTCCTGCTCCATCTTCTCTACCTGCTGCTTCTGCTGACGCTCCAGGTTCTCCAGCTCCGTGTCAAAGAACTTCTTCTTGGCCTGCAAGGAGCGGAGAGAAGAGTTCAGCAAAGTCACTTTATAGGTCGCTGGGAGGAAGATGGGGAGCAGGATGGGAAGAGCCCGGAACTTGTCCTCAGGCCTGGGCTTAAATCCCAGCTCCATCACCTCTTCTCTGTGTGGCCTGAGACAAGCCGCTTAACCTCTCTGAGACAAGTCTCTCTTTCCTCATGTGCAAAAGAGAGGACAGACCGTCTACCTTGCAGGTTCCTGCCTGGTGCTCAGCACAGACTAGTTTCCCTCTAGAGATGTTCCGGTGTGACTCAGAGAGGCTCTGAGACCTTCGTGTAATTCTATGGTACAAGTCAAAGCCTAATGAGACCAGGAAACCAGGGGAACTGGACAACGGTGAGGTACTCGCCGCTGCGCGATCACCCCCACTCTGCAGCTTCTGCTTAAAGAAAAACGGAAGCAAGCAGCCCTCCCGGGGCCCATCTTTCCTCGCACTCACGTTGATTTCTTGTTCAAAACGTTTATGCATCTGCTCCAGCTGCAGCTCGTGCTTTCTGCTCAGCTGGTTCTGGTTCCGATGCTCTTCTTTCTGGAGCAGCCGCAGCTCTCGGAGTTCCTGGCGCCTGAGGGTTAAAAGGTGTGGACACCGCAGTCAGAACATGGCCTCAGAGATCCCAGAACTCACAGCGAGAGGCACTGAAGGCTGGGGGTGGAGCAGCACCACGCTGGGGCAGAGGCAGGGTTAGAACTCGGGCTCCATTTGACATTTATGGGCGGACAAAACATTCACAACCTTAATATGTAAAGAGTACTTACAAATCAGTAAAACAGGACTATCCTAAATTTAAACAGTGACACAGAACATGAACAGACATGAAACAAAAGACAAATGTTTAAATAACGTATATAGATATGAAATGTAAATTAAAAAGGAATGCCATTCTGATGAACTAAACAGGTGAGATTATAGGGGAAATTGAGACTTTTGTAACCTGCTGAGGTATAAATTGGTACAACATTCCTGGAGGACAGTTTGGCAATAAGTTTATGCCCTTTGAGATAAAAGAGTTCCACTTGTGGATAATATTCTAAAGCAGCATTCACACATGCACAACAACAGTGAACAAGGATATCAGTAACAGTCCCTCAGTATAGGTCTAATTAAATGAAAACATATCCATCTGATGTAATTAAAAATCAGGTTTTAGAAGATAATTACATGGAAAACCATCTATTAAAAATGCAGCAATTCTTTATGACAGAGACGGGATGATCTCTGTTGACAGGTGGATCTATTAGGCAACCCTACCATGTGGGTGGGGAAAGAGTGTATGTGAGTGCACAGGGGTATGTGAGTTTGTTTTCCTATCTGAACACTGTATTTCTGGAAGGATTACAGCAAAAAGTAGCAACACCAGGAGGGGACTGGGCACCTGGCAGAAAAGTGAACGAGGGAGATTTTTCACTGTTTACCCTCTTTTTCTGAGTTTTGAACCATATCCTATTTCCTATTTACAACGTACACCTTAATTTTGTAACCTGTGTATTGCCAGTGTGTATATTCACAGAAAACACCGGCAGGATAAACCCCAAAATGTTTACTGTGTCTCTTTCTGAGCAAGTCCATTGAAAACTGGTATGTGTCGTTTATATAATCAGAAAAGAGGAAGAAATTAAAATGATGGGGGAAGAACTGGGCCTGCGACTGAATCGGGCTCTCCGGCAGCTGTGTCCTGTTCTCGCCCAGGGTCTGCAGGCTGCTCCACGGGGTCCCCACCGACCCCTTCCTCGCAGCTCGGAGAGGGCAGAGCTGCTCGGGGGGCCCAACAACCGCTGCAGGAGGAGAGGCCACATCTGGGGTCCGAGGGACCGAGTTCGAATCTTAGCTCTGCCGACTCTGCAGCTGGGCGCCCTCGGCCTCCCTCAGCCTTGCAGGCGGCTGTAACGTGGGGCAGATCATCTCTACCTGTCAGCTTCTTGGAGGGGTAAATGAGGTGATACCTGTACTGCCAGCCTGGCACACAGCACACACTCCCTCATGGTGACTTCTCGAACGACAATGAGGAAGCAGAGCCAAAGGCCTCTGGGAAAAGCAGGGACATGTGTACAGCCGCGTAGAGGAGCTTCGCTGAGCCTCTGCCCTCCCGCCGGGAAGGAGAGGGCAGGAGGCGGCTTTGAGAGTCTTAACAAAGAAATGGAAATCTTGCCTCAAGAGAAACAGGCTTCCAGAACAACTGACCAAAAGACAAAGGGATCAACAGCCAGCCTCTGACATCACCTCCTGCCCCGCCCTCTCTCACAGGGAAGGCGGGCAGACAGGCAGGTGGCGGAGGAAGGAAACAACCAGCACCCGCAGTTTGGGGGGAAAACAGAAAGAACGCGGGCCTAGAAGCCTCAATCTGGGGGAGTGTGAGTCAGTCCCGTGGGCCTGACGCCTGCCTGCCCAGTCCTCCGGAAATGCCGGGACCCGGGGTGACGAGGGCTGTGGCCGGCTGGGGATGACCAGCGCCTTCCACCCCTGCGGCCTGGCCGCCTGGCCACGCTGGCCGGCTGCTCAGACCTCAGGACCACAGGCAAACAAGAAAGCCTTGTGGCTCGAGAGCACCTCTCCTCCACCTCGGCTGGTCTCCCCTTCCGAGCCTGGGCAGCACACAGCTCCTCTGCTCAGGCCAGACGGCATCGCTTCTCGATGGGGTGGTGAGTCTGCAGTTTCAACCCCAGAAACCTAAAGCTCCCGGAGGGGAGGTGGAGAGCCAGCCCCTGAGGTCTGAAGCCGGAGGAGTGCAAGTCACCTCCCAGCGGACCATTCAAGCAGGTGGTGGCATCCCGACCACAACCGGTCCCTCCCCAGTGGCCCAACCCACACAGATGACACCAAAGCGTGTGTGTGTGTGTGTGCGCGTGTGTACACAGATACGCCCCAGTGACGTCTGCCTCCGTCTCCTGCTTCCTACAAGGGACAAGGGACCCCAGGCAGCCCGAACTGCTCGCATGTGGCTTTGGGCTGTTTGAGCTTTTTAAAAACATGAATGTGTTTGATGGTCTAGAAATGTTCTCTAAACCAAAAGTGAATTTACCTGCACAGGCCTGGCCCCAAGGGGGCTCCGGGGCTCCAGGGCCTCCTGCCTGCTAAGCCCCTGCCCCAAGCTCAGCAGCCCCAGGAAGCTGCACGTCCGGCGGAAGCCTCCAGAATCCTCCCTCCGCCAGGCCTGGCGACAGCCTCAGCTCCACCCCTCTCACCTGGGTGACCGGGGTCGGTGACTGGCCTGCCAAGAAGCAGTCTCCTCGTTTACAAAATGGCGAGACGGGGTCTCCCTGAGGAAGGCTTTCGGGGCCTGAACACCTTAGACGTGCAGAGATGGCTCCTAGCAGATGGCTTCTCCCCACACCAGCTCATGGGTTTTGCTCCAAAATGTACGTGGTTTCTGACCACCTCTTCCGGCCGCTGTCCTGAATGGGGTCTCCTCTACAGCCCAGCCTCACCCCCCAGCCAGAGCCACCTTCCACACGGGGCACGAGAGCTGCGAGCTCTCCAGCTGTTTCACTCCCGCTGGGGTAACACCCACACTCTCCCGCCCTGACCTACAGGCCCTGAGGACTCCGGGGACCACACCCCAGCCCTGTCCTCTCAGCTCCCGAGCCAGCCGAGCGATCAGCCCGCGGGCTGCTGGTGGCCAGCTCCTCTCACCCTGCAGGTTCTGTTCAGGGGGTTCCCTCGGAGCAGCCTCCCCCAGCCCAGGCGCTCACTCTCATCACCCCTTACTTCCTGCACATGAACCACAACTGGGAATTACCTTGTGTGCTGGGTGTTGGCCCATTGGGTATACGTTCTACAAAGCCAACAGCCCCAACTATATGGGTCACCATGTCCCCCAACCTGGTGGGTGGGTGGATACATGGGTGGGTGGACGGATGATGGATGGATGAATGGACAGAAGGGTGGGTGGGTGGAATAGATAGATGGGTGAGGGAATGGGTGGGCTGGGGAGTGCAGCATCTCAAGCAAAAGCAGTTTCCTTTTGTCTCATTGATCCTTCACTTCATGCTGTAGACAGCTCTCTCACCCACCCAACGCCTGTCCCTCCACCCCACCCCACCCCACCCCGTTAGCTCCCTCAGCGTCCCTATCCCCAGCTTGCCTGAGAAATCTCATCTCCTCGTCCTTCTTCTCATCTTCGCTGATGATCTTGGAGGTGGTGATGCTCACCTCCACGCCGTCCACCACAAACTTGCGTGTCCTCTTGAGGGTTTTATTGTGCAGCCTGGAGTCCTGGCAGGGCAATCATTAGGCAAAGCTCAGCCTTTCAGCGAAGAGTCTGTGGGTGGCGCGGTGTGGCCGCACACCCAGGGAGGACGCGGCTGCCCACCATCCCTTTACTTCAAGCTTCTCGACCCAGGGCTGTGAGTGTCTGAACTTATTACCCCCATCCCCCTCCCTGATCTTGGCCTTCAGACACGGCCCCATGCCGTCCCCCCCTAGCGGCCAGCACTCTCACACACACGGGACATTTCTAATCCTCTACCACCTACTGGCTCTATGACCCTGGGCAGGTCCCTTGTCCCGTCAGCCTCAGCTTCCTGGTCTTGTCGGAGGAGAAAAGCAGTGCTTGCCTCCCAGGTGGTTCAGTGAGAAAACGCGGGGCTGTGCACAGCGCCGGCTCTTGGCAACTGTGCAGCACTTGGTGTTTGCAGGCCAGTCTGGTGTTCACAACACCAAAATCCAGAGCCCGAAAACCACGTTCAAAAGGGATTTGGCAGCCAAGCCTGATCTGACCTGAACTCCAGGGGGCCACACCCGTCTGGAGGCACCAGGAGCTTATTCATAATCTTTATCTTTTCCTGTGAATAATCAGCATTTCTCAGGCTGGCAGAGCACCGCCCAGACTCCGGGAGCTGTTCACGGCCCTCGGCCAGTTCTCCCGAGTCCGATGCCGCCCTGCGCCTGCACTGGAGTCCGCAAGGTCGCTCCCTCTAACCTCTCAGCTGGCTTCCGCCCTCCTGCTGTGCCCAGCCCTGCCTTTCCACCTGCCCTGGGGCCCCCAGCCCAGAGGGGGAGCGGAGGGCCTGGTGTTCCCCTCAGTCAGTCCCTCGGTCGCTCGGACCCGGCTCCTGCTGTCAGGATGCAGGGGCTCTGGACATCATCACACTGAACAGCCACCCCGACCCCTCTCCTCACAGTGTCCAGCTCACGTGTCCTAGGACTCAATTCCCGATGGTCACAGGGCCCCCGTCTGAGGCAAGGCAGCCCCGCTGGCCTCATCAGAACAGCGTGCCCCTGACTCCCTGCCATCAGCCAGTGGGAAGTGCTCGCAGCGTCCTCGGGAAGGGGAGGCCCCTCCTCTGGGGGATGGCTCTTCTCCACTCCTTCAGTCTCTTTAACAGTGGTTCTCAACCTTCCTAACGCCGCGACCCTTTAATACAGTTCCTCATGTTGTGGTGACCCCCAACCATAAAATTATTTTCGTTGCTACTTCATAACTGTAATTTTGCTACTGTTATGAATCGTCATGTAAATATCTGATAGGCAGGATGTATTTTCATTGTTTGCGACCCACAGGTTGAGAACCGCTGCTTTAAGAGGAGGAGAGACAGGCTCCTGTCCTAGGATGGGCCCGAGGCAGCGACCCATCGGAGCTGCTGCCTGCCCTTGAACTGGCGGCCTCAGCACTGCGCCTCCTTCCTGCCGCAGAGCCATGTGCAGTGGCTGCTTCAGTCCCTTCCCGTTGGCAAGTAGTTCTGACTTTCTACTGTGTGTTTTCACCAAGTAAACAATGAAAGGAAAAACCGAAGATACAGGAACTTCCCTAACCTCGGCCTTGGTTGGAGGGGGACCCTCAGTGTGGCCCAGGCAAGGAAGTGACCGGCGGTGACAGTGAGGGCGAGAGCATCCCCAGACCTGTCGGAGCCGCCAGCCCTCCGGCCACCGGAGGACAAGCACGAGGCCACAGCCCCAACGGGAAGGCAGAACGGCATGCGGGGCTCAGAGCCCAGAGCGTGGGTCTCCCCAGCCCCCAGTGCCCACCTGAGCCTCCGTTAGCTCATCTGCACATGGATGAAGGGGCCTCCTTCGTTTTATGTTGTTTTTGAAAGCACTTTGCAGTGCCAGGCCCTCAGGCACAGCGGTCCTCCCAGAAAGGCCACTGAGCTGGGAGACAGCCTGAGCCCACTCCCTTTCACTGACTCCACCGCCACCACAAACAAGGGATCTTCCACTTCTAGAACCCTCGCCCCGATTTCACCAGGGCCTCTAACCAAACCCAATTTAAACGGAAACCAAATTGAAACTTAAACCCAAATGAACTGTTGCTATGACTAAATCCCAGATGAACTTGGATATTTTGAAGATTAAACTGAGTCGAACTAAAAGCCCCATTCCAGGGAGAGAGACGGAAACATCAGTGACGAGAGAGAATCATCGATCGGCTGCTTCCTGCACGCCCCACACTGAGGATCGAGCCCGCAACCCAGGCACGTGCCCTGACCGGAATCAAACTGTGAACTCCTGGTTCCTAGGTTGACGCTCAACCACTGAGCCACGCCAGCCGGGCAATAAAAATATCTTTTTAAAAAAGAAAAGAGCAATCCTTGTGAGCCACTTAGAAACGAAAGGCGCACCAGATGCTTTCAGAAACCCACACGGAGCCGAACATCCTGCTCCCAGCCTGTGCGCCACACGGGGCGTTACCTTGATGGACAGAGAGCCCGTCTCTCTGTTCAGGGACAGGTCAGCCGACAGGGAGGTGCTGTAGTCCATGCTCTCGGAGGTGGACAGGCTGCCACAGTCCGAGTCCCTCTTGGAAGGAGAGGCCGGGGCGGGGAGCTCCAGGCTGCCGTTGGCCAGCTTCTCGCTGCCCAACGTCTCCAGGGCGCTGCTGACGGGACGGCTCTGGCTTGTCTTCCGGGGCCGGTTGGCGGTGGGACTGAGGTCCCCAGCCTGGTCAGCCCCCTGCTTCTCCTCAGGCACCTGGATGCTGGCGCCCATCGACACGGGCCGGGACTTGCGGAGAGGCACGGGCACTGCGAGGCCATTCTCATTCCCAGCGGCCACATCCGGGGGCTTGGTGGTCTGGAGGGAACTGTCCCCAGAGGGCAGGCTGGGCCCGTTCTCCCGGTCCTGAGGCTGGCTGGGTGGCACTGGAGTGACAGGTGGCTCCTGGAGAGGCTTGTTGGCATCGAGGCTCACCTGACTCACCTCGGAAGAGGTGCGAGTGTGGTCCCCTAGGGGCTAGAGGAAAAGAAAAGACAGTCAAGGCCACGCCGCTGTCTGTACAAGGCAACAGCCAGAAACACAGACGCCGACAGGGTGACGTGGGCCCAGGCCGAGGAGATGAGTAGGTATCACTTCCGGCAAGCCACAGTCCCCACCACTCCCGACTGCCTAACCAGCAGCCACAGGACCACTTGTTTTGAGGAACAGGAGTCTCCTGATTGTCTCAAATCTTAGTTTACTGCCTGTTACTCTTCCTAGGAGTGCAGGCAACTGTGGCCAGCAGCTACTCAGCTCCAGCCGATGTGACAGTGTGGGAAAGTGGGTCCCCTCTGGCCAGACCTTCCAAATTTTCAGGACAAGCCAGAATCTGGACTTTCACATGACAGCTCCTGATTTTTAGATGGCAACTAGTTAAAGGCTTTTTTTAAATTGCATAAAATCCAAAATTACCCAAGACTAGATTCCACCTACCAGCCACTAACTTATTTTTTTCTTTTGATTTCAGAGAGAGGAAGGGAGAGGGAGAGAGGGAGAGAGGGATAGAAACATCAATGAGAATCATTGATTGGCTGCCTCTTGCACGCCCCCAACTGGGGGTCAAGCCCCCAACCCAGGCATGTGCCCTGACTGGGAATCAAACCTGTGACCTCTTGGTTCATGGGTTGATGCTCAACCACTGAGCTACACTGGCCGGGCCAGCCACTCAAGTTCTGTTTCATTTTTAGAACTTTTGGGGGGTGGAAAGTATTGGAAATTTTGCTGTTAAGAAACAGAGCACTCATTTATCTAAATAAAATCTAAATGTTCAGCCTAATGAATAAAGTGAGCACCATGTAGCCACCATCCAGGTCAGGAGTGGAACTGTGCCCCGCCCCAGAGGACCCCTGCCCAGACCCACCCTTCCCCTTGACATCATCGCTGTCCTGACTTCAGTCTCTAAGTGCTGTCGGTCGGTCTGCCTGTTTTTAGACTTATATTGATGCACTCACAATTCCCTTGGGCTCTGACAACCTTGTTTTGACCTTGCATATGGAAGCTTCCAGAAGCAACTTCTTCAACACCCAGAGCAAGGGATCAGAGCTCAGATCTGATCCTGTCCTCCCACACCAACGCCCAGCTCCTGCCTCACGAGGTCCAAGGCGCCATCTGTACTGGGGAGTGAACGTCCTCCCACGGGCCTCCCCAGCCGACCAGACCCGCCATCCATCAACGCAGGACAGGGCCCGCCCACAGGCATGTTCACTGGCTCACATGGTTTTAATATTTAAATTAGCTTTCCTTTAAATTTAAATCCAGCCAAGTGCTAAGCTGCAGGTGGGTTACCACCGTGCCCAGACACGGGTCCCCTGGGCACTCGGGGAAGCCGGGCGGGGCCTGTTGCCTCTGACCACGTGCAGCCTGTACCCAATTACACTCAAAACAGGCTCGTTGTGGGTGTGAGCCACCACGGGAAAGGCTGGGAAGCAAAGAGCCAGCAGCCACCTGTTACAAATTGGGACCTCGTGGAAATCTAGGCTCCTGGTCTTCCCTGAAAATTGACGGGATCCACCAACACGCCCTGGCCCACGTGCCGGCTTATGTAACCTGTGGCATGGGAGCCTGTGACCTCCAAGCTGGGGAGACACAGAAAGGAATCCTTCCTGCTCCTCTGGGCGCCCCCCTCACAGGAGCCAAGGCCTGCGGGGGGCCCGTCCCTCCCCAGCACTCATTCTTCCGGGCCTTACCGAGGTGGCATCCACGGAGTCCTCCTCCTCCCCCTCCTCCCGGCCGTCTTCAATCTCCTCCATCACCTCGGCCTTGGCCTCGGCCACCAGCTCCCGCAGAGCCTTGTTACTGGTGACGCCGCTGACGAAGGGATGCTGCGGGGACAGGACACGGGATTAGCCCACCTGGGCTGGGGCGAGGAGGGCAGGCAGAGGGACACCCAGAGGAAGCTCAGAAAGTCCTGTGTGTGGCGGAAAGAGGGCAAATCCCGACTCTGCCCATCACCGGCTGTGACACGGAGCGTGTCACTCACCCTCTCTGGGCTGCAGACACCTCACCTCTGCAGTAGAGATGATGCTGCCAAACCCACCGGGAGGTCATGGCCATTAAAAAGCTAATTCCTACAGAGGTGCGCGGCCGAAGTGGAGCTGAAGCAATGCGGGGGGGCGAGGGGGGGCGGTCTGTTTGCATAGTGTTTATTTTCTTTAAAAAGGGGGGCTAGGTTCACAAATCGCCAATATTCCCCGTATGTTTCACATATCTAAGACCCGGAGTGACCACCACCCCAGACAGAACACCCCCCTCACCTGGAAAAGGTCCCTGTCCCCCCGGCAGTGAACACCAGACCCCCCTCCCCAGCTCAGAGGTGTCCTGCCCGCCTGCTCTTCAGCGTCACATGGACAGAGTCCGCCACCCCCTGTGGCCGAAACTCGGGCCCCCTCCTTGCCGTGTGCACTGGCGAACTGTCCCTTCTGTGACCCTGTGCCGTGTTTACTGCGTGACTATGTCAGCTCGTTCATGCACTCGTTCCGCGGCGGACGGACATGTGTGTTGCTTCCTGTTTGCGGTGCCTGTGAGTAAAGCTGCCGAGAACACACTGGCACGTGTCTGCGGTGGACACGTGTGTCTGCAGACGTGTGTGGCAGTGTGTGCATTCCCCTCCGCCGCTCACAGAAATGTCACGTCTCACAGGCCTTGCAAAACACCGATGCTGCTGGGGCCTCAGCAGACGTTCAGTCCCGAGGCGGGCGGGCTGGAGGGCGAGGGGGGGCACCACCAGCTCTGCGGGGGGCGCTGGGAAGCCACGATATGGAACTACCTGTGTCTCCCAGCCAGGTGACCCCCCCAAGCCTGCCTGCACCTGGGCGCCCTCACCAGGGGGCAGGGGATGTGCCCCACCCGCCCTCGCTCGGGAAGAGGCAACGAGCCCATGGCAGCCTACGCTAAGCTAAGCTCTGACGTGTCTTCTGTATCTCAGGGATTGCTCATTTCTCCTGCGGCCTTTTCTGTCTCCCGCCGAGTCCCTCTGCCGGGACATTTTCCAGCCGCGGAACGGAAATTCCCGGCTCGGGTCAGGGCTCCGCGTCTGCCAGGCGGGGATGGAGGACAGCTGTCCCTTCCCAGAGGAACGTCCTGGAGGCCGGAGGTGCAGGCCAGGAGGTGCCGGCTCACAGGAAACAATTGGCCCCCAGCGGCCAGGAGCTCCTGTGCTGACAGTGACACAGCCCGCCCCCCCTAACCCCCTCTGGCTGGACCGCCCGCCTCCTCCCAGCACTGCCCCACCTGACCCCACAGGACCAGGAAAGGAGGCCTCTAGTCAAATACACACAGGGACCTGCGGGGACTGCCGGGCCCTCTAGCAGACAGGCCCCACCGTCCCACCTGGTCTCTCTCCATTTGGTTAGTAATTCTCCTCAACATGTCAAACATCCACGAGCCTAGTGCTTCATCGTGAGGCTACGCTCTTTCTAGAACCTTCTCGCTTAATCCTCACAGCCACCTTGCAAAGGGGACATTGCTGTAATCCCCACCTCAGAGCAAGAACCAAGTCAGAGAGGGCAAGCCACTCGCCCCGGGAGGCGCAGCAGGAAGGGATGTGAACCAGGACTTCCCACTCCGGCCCACACACTGTCAGGGTGCTGCCCTCCCAGAGGGGCGCGGGCATTTCCCGCCTGTCCAGCTCGGCGCTGGGACCTAAGTGTGTCCGTGTGACCGACAGCCTGAGCCTGGTGCTGCCCTCGCGCCTTCTCTCCGCCTCCTGCTGCTCTAACAGGTCACGGTGGTGAGCACGCGGCCTGAGTCCTGCGTGTCCTCTTGGGAACCATCGAATCCAGGGCGGACACACCACTCCAATCTCATCTCCAATCCCCTGCGCTCACCCGGCTCCTCGCCAGGCCTCCTGGCTCTTCCCGGCTCATGCCACACGTGCTCACCCCTGACCTTGGCCTCCGCGCTGGCCTGGCCCTCGCCGCCTCTGGGTGTTGCTCACACAGAAAGCCCTCTGTGTCCTCCCTCTGCAGGAGCACCACCCCGCCGGCCGCCACCGCCCGTGCTGTTTTCTCCAGAGCCTTCGTCTCCCCTGCCCAGTGCCCATCTCTGCTCGTCTGCCCGGCGCCCCACAGGACACCAGATCCGTGAGGACCGGCTGGGGGCCCCCTTCCTGGCCGCCCTCCCCGCCCGGGAGCCGGCGTTTAGGAGGCGCCCAGGAGCGTGGTTTGCTGAGTGAGTGGTGTGCACTCAGCCACCTGGGCTGGGCGAGGAAGGCATCGGCCCCAGGTCATGGCCGATCTCTCCGTCGCTCCCAAGGAGTCAGCAGGCGCCGCCCGGAGAGGAGCCTCACCTCC